AATTCAAAACAAAATATAAAAAAAAATACAGACAAAAGTAATGAAGTGGAAATATGAAATGGACTGATAACTGCCCGTTCTTTATTCTACAACTGTAAAAAGAGTACTGTTCTGATTGAATGAAGTATTTCATTTTCAAAACAAAAGGGAGGGGGTAATAAAGCCTACCAGGTCATTGAGGTAATTGGCATATTTGGAGAACGCATCTTTCATGAGATTTGGGTCAGTACTCTCAGAAACAGAAGAATTGGAGGTAATCGTTCGTTGCCTTTTTGCCGGTGCTGTCCCTGCAACTGTTCGATAAAATGCGTGAGTGAATAAATTATTCAAAGAAATTCCAGATTTTCGTATGAATCCCTGTTTCGAGATGGGAATATGGAGGATAATAGAGTAGTACAGTGCTTACGAGTACGGAGGTGTTGGGGTTTCGAAGCCATGAGTGATAGCTTGACGAAGGACGAGGAACTGAACAATTTCATCCGAGTTCTCACAGTCACGGGGACAAAAAGACTCTACCGAGACATGTTTATTTTATTTAAATATTAAATATAATATTAAATTCCACGAAGTAGCAGAAGTTGCTGTGGTGTAGTGGTTATCACGATGGTCTTACGTATTATTTAATTTCACCTATCATTTAATATTATATTAACGTCATATAGATTGGGGATGCATCGTCGTGGAGATTAATAGCATTTCTCGATTTGAAAAATGATATTCATCCCCAATGGGGATGCATCTCCAATCTATGTGGATGTAAATGAATGGTTAAATGATAGGTGAAATTAAATGACTTATTTAATTTCACCTATCATTTAATACCACATTAACGCCACATAGATTGGGATGCATCCCCAGTGGGGATGAATAGCATTTCTCGATTTGAAAAATACTATTCATCCCCAGTGGGGATGCATCCACAGTCCATGTGGATGTAAATGATTGGTTAAATGATAGGTGAAATTAAATGACTTATTTAATTTCACATATCATTTAATACCACATTAACGCCACATAGACTGGAGATGCATCCCTAGTGGGGATGAATAGTATTTCTCGATTTGAAAAATACTATTCATCCCCAGTGGGGATGTATTCACAGTCTATGTGGATGTAAATGATTAGTTAAATGATATGTGAAATTAAATAAGTCAGGTGAAATTAAATGACTTATTTAATTTCACCTATCATTTATGCTACATTAACGCCACATAGACTGGGGATGCATCCCCACTGGGGATGAATATAGCATTTCTCGATTTGAAAAATGCTATTCATCCTCAGTGGGGATGCATCCCCAATTTATGTAGATGTAAATGATTGGTTAAATGATAAGTGAAATTAAATGACTTATTTAATTTCACCTATCATTTAATGCCACATTAACGCTACATAGACTGGGGATGCATCTCCAGTGGGGATGAATAGCATTTCTCTACAAATTTATACAAAAGAGGATTTACAAGATCATGTGGCAAAATTTATGATGTTGATTTTAAAAAGTGTTTTT